AGGTCTGGTTTAGCTAGGATAGCCCGTATAGGGTGATTTGTAAGTACCACTATGCTGTGAGACTCGAAGTAATGTCGAAGTTTCCTCTTGGCATAAATTAACGCCAGGATTACCTTTTCTGTCTTGCTGTACCGTGTCTCGGCATCCGTCATCGTTTTGCTTGTGTAAAAGATTGGATGTTGAACCTTGCCTCCTTCTTTGATCAACACTGCGCTTGTTGCTACAGTTGATACTGCCAGGTACAGGATGAGAGTGTCCCCGGGCGTTGGAGCAGAAAGGATTGGGGGTTTTGTCATGTAGCTTTTCAATTGATTGAGAGCTTCCTGCTGCTGAGGTCCCCACATATCTTTGTTTTTGGATCGAATAGCATCGAAGAAAGGTTTATACTTATCAAATAATCGGGATATGAACCGGCTGAGAGCCGCAATTCGGCCGGTTAGAACTTGCACTTCCCTGCGGGTTTTCGGCTCCTGGTTCTGTATTAATGCCTTTGCCTGAGCTGGGCTTACTTCTATTCCTCTTTTATTCACGACGTGCCCAAGGAACTGTCCTGACGAGACGGCGAAGGAGCACTTGGTGGGGTTCAGCTTCATATTGTATCTCTTGAGAGTATCAAAGACCTCCTGGAGGTGCTTCGGGTGGTCCTCTTTCCGTATACTTTTGACCACCATATCATCGATATAGGCTTCGACCGTATTTCCCAGCAGATTATTGAAAATTTTATTGACAAGTCGTTGGTAGGTGGCTCCGGCATTCTTTAGACCGAAGGGCATCACTCTGTAGCAGTAAGTGCCTGTTTCTGTGATAAAAGCGGTTTTCTCCTCATCTTCAGGATTCATGGGAATCTGATTATAGCCGGAGTATGCATCGAGGAATGTGAGCCTTTCATAACCCGTCGTAGCATCCGCCATTTGATCAATCTTGGGCAGAGGAAAGCTATCTTTTAGGCAAGCTTTGTTAAGGTTGGTATAATCTACGCATACCCTCCATTTCCCATTCTTCTTTTGAACGACTACTACATTTGAGAGCCATTGCGGGTATTGCACTTCTCGAATGAATCCTGCTTGTAATAGTTTATTTACTTCCTCGGCTATTATGCGATTCCGTTCAGGTGCGAACCGTCGGTGCCTCTGCTTGACTGGCTTGAACTCTGGGTTAACCCTCAGACTATGGCATGAGACTGCAGGATCGATCCCCACCATGTCCGAGTGATCCCAGGCAAAGACATCCGAATTGCACCGAATGACCCTAATCAATGCTTCTTTCTCTTCGGCTGTGCAAGATGAGCCAATGTAGGTGATCTTCTGGGGGTCTCCGAGGACTACCTCTATAGCTTCGAGGGACTCCTCGGTAGGTGCTTCAGCTTCGGCTTCCTCCTCTGCCTTGAGATACTTGGGCAGAGGATACTGTAACTGCTATTTGATCGTGTCTTTGGGATTCGCCTCTGACTGAGGTGACTTCGACGCTTTCTTTGCTTCATGTAGCGTTAGCATGTAACATTCTTTTGCAGCAACCTGGTCTCCCCAGAGGTCGATGACCTCTCTGCCATCCGGGGATAAACACCTCATTACTTGGTGAAGTGTAGAGGGGACTCCGTTTATACGATGGATCCAACCTCTCCCCATAATGAGGTTATAAGATGGATGAATTTCTGTTACGACGAAGTTTTCCTTCAGAGTCCTCTTTGCTGCAGTAACGGATAGATCGATCACCCCGAGCGGATTCACCTTAGTACCATCAAATCCCATTAGGGGGCTGGAAGTTGGCCTGATGGACGATGGTGAAACCCCCAACTAATCAAAAGTTGTTTTTGTAATGATGTTGGCGCTACTTCCCGGATCTATCAGCACTCTCCTGATCATGTAATTCGCTACCAGGAGGCTGATGACCAAGGGGTCCTCATGCGGGCGTTGGACTCTAGAAAGATCATTGTTACCGAATCCAATGTTGATGCTACCTGGCGCAACCATGTTGACCGAAGACACTCTTCGTAACTTATGAGCCTCTCTCAGCCTGGATCTGTACAACTCTTCAGACTCTTCATCATCCTCTGACCTTCCGTGTATAGCATGGATAACCTTTACCTGACCGCCCTCTACCCGTCGAGGGTTAACCTCCCGAGGTTTTACGTGCTCCTTCGTGGCGAGATACTTCACCAATTCTCCTCTCGCTATCATGCTTTCTACTTGTCGCTGTAGGGACCTGCAGTCATTGGTGGTATGCCCATAATCTCTATGGTAGGCACAATGTTTGCTTTTGTCCCTCTGCTCCAAGGGTTGCTTCATGGGCAGAGGAGTCGCGAACCTCGTCTTATTCTCTTGGAATAGGCGCGCCAAGGTAGTACGGAGAGGGGTAAGCCTGTCCTCTGTCCTTCGCCTTTTCTCAGACGCTTGGGTGACTTGTGTGGCGGTATGAGGAACCTTCTGCATCCTTGTGCTCGCAGCTTTCTCTCGAGACTTGTTTTCCACCGTGACGAGGGTAGCGTGCTGTGCACAGTGGGCTACGTTTTCCTCCAACCGGATGTAGATTTGTGCCCTAGCGTTCAAAGTCTGCATATCCGGGGGGGAATATTTGACCAAGGATGTGTGAAACTTGGTTCCCTGGATCATTGCCAACTTAAACGTTTCGATTGCCGTGGCAGGATGGCAATTTGCTATCTCCGAGGCCTCCATGTTAAACCTGGATAAAAAATCTTGCAAAGTTTCTCCCTTCCTTTGCCTTATGGTGAAAAGGCTGGCGATACTTTTCTTCTGCTTCTTATTTCCGCAATACTGGGCTAAGAACATAGTGCACAAGGTCTCATAGTCAGGGATAGACTTGTGTGGCCTATTCCTGAACCATTCTAACGCTGCTCCGGTTAAACTGGTAGGAAAAACCTTACACATCCACGGATCGTTATGATCGTCCAGTGCCATCTTTTGCGCATAATGATCGAGATGCCGAGAGGGGTCTCCTGCCCCATCGAACTGGGTGAAGGATGGCATAGTGAACTTCTTCGGCCTCTCCACAAGGTACACCTCATCAGTAAAGGGGGTCTTGACCAAGGAGTTCTTGTGCTCTCTAGCCATCTCGGCTGGTGTCTGGACTCTCAAGAGCTTCTTTTCGTCGAAGGCATCTTGTACACGTGCGCCATCTGGAACGCCATTGGACCATACCGTAAGCCTATGGCTGGACTCGGCCTGTTCGTCCTGTGTGCGATGCGGGAGATTATCCGAAGCAACCGCCTCGGACCTCATCCCTTGCTTTTGCTGAACCTCACTAGGTCGAGCCCCGTTGGGTGGTGTCTCGTTGGCTGGAGGCTCGTGAACCGGAGGTAAATTCCGGGTGGGGGGTGGTGCCGTAGCATCGCCTGGTGGTGGTTGTGGCGTTAGCCTGGCCATGGCCGTGTGCAGCGTATGAGTCTGCTGCTGAAGCGCAGCTATCTGGGCGACACTCGTATCGTTTACTTGCCGGAGTGTCTCAAATTGGTGCAAGAACTCTTCTCGCATCTTTTGCATCAATTCTATCTGTTGATTCATTGCTGACTCTCGGTTTGACATTCCAGACACGATTAAAGGATTTAATTTGAAGAACAAGTGGGAGTATATTTCTATACGGTTCCCATAGACGGCGCCAAAGTGTAGGTGCAAAATTTCGCCCAACCAATAATGATTGAGAAAAATAAAACAACTCACTCAAAAACAATAAAAATAAATAAGAACAGTGTGTAGAGGCGTAAAATTGCTTGATCCTTTATTGGAGGTCTTAGCCTCTATTTATATACAAAAGATTGCAAAATTATGGTAGGACTCGCGTTGCTTGCCCTCCAATTCTTTCTATATAACCATTCTTTTCTAATAGAGTTCTTTCCATTGTCGAATCTTCCATGCATAGAAATTGCCTTGTACAGAACTTCCTATCTGAATTTTCCTTCTACAGTAAATCCTTCAAATGGTAGGATTTGTGCATTCTTGGGCTGAATATATTTTGATCCGGCTGGGCTTGGGTAACAGGCCGGATGTTAAATACTCATACGCTGGGCTGACGACAAGCTGGGCTGATGACTTCTTGATTCGGCCTTGATGGAAGTTGGAGGATAAATAACAATGGTCTTGGGCTGTAAATACCCTCAATTTGGGCTTGAGCATGATGGGCCTTATATGTCCTTGGAATGTAGATATGGGTAGTGGTGACGTGTGCGCTTTTTATTGGAGGGAGTTTTTTTCCCTCCACAACATGCTATGTAAGGTACTGAAGAACCGCAGGGTTGTCGATTTGGCTGTAGTCGTCGTCGTCCGCGACTTGGCACTCTACGAATGTCAATACAACAATGGCACATATATATAGCCTCATATTCAGAGCAGAGCAAATTAGAGTGATGGAGAAGGTCAATGCGAGTTCAATGGAGTCGACATGAGAGGGATGGAAATCGGAGGAGGTCAAATGAATGGAGAACTGGGAAGGAAAGAAAGAGATGGAAGAGAAAGGAAAGGAAAAAACGCCAGCAGAGGTTGTGTGGGACCCGCGAAGGAGCAGAGCACGTCCTAACCCACCATATGTCCGGGTCTGTTGCAGATGGCATGGAGAAATTTTAGGAAATTGATGTACTTTTCAGTTCGTATCAGTGTAGAGTTCGAACTTCGGGGATTCGTGCCGACCAACTTGGCGGATTTTGACGCGGTACGAGGAAGAAGACCCATTTAAAAGGGTACTTTTGTAATTTTAAAATTATCTTTATCAAAATTTTTAATTTAGTTTTGTTCAGGGGTCAGCCATGGTAACTTGATAACCTTGTTTTTTAGTTCGGAGACTGTTTAATTTTAATGAAGTTTTTTGTAGGAATATAATAACAGAGGGGGTTATGTGATTTAAAGTTACAAAAATTTATTCATTAATAAGTTTTGAAATATACATCATGATTAATTTGGTCTTAAAATTTATTCATGAAATATAACGGTCAACCTTCATATGGTTTGTCGTCAGAAATGTAAGCAACAATATATATCTCACATTACAAATGATTATTTTAAATTTATACACAAATTTTACACTTTATTATACATGAGTGCACAAAATGAACAAACAATTCTCACTTTATTATACATGATACAAGCAGCAAAGATCAATGACGATGATAAAAACAGACTAATCCAAAACACTTGGATTGAATTGGGCAAATGAAAGTAGCTCCTCATCACGTTCAAAAGCTCTCATCTCCATCTCACCCAGCGATACCCATGCTTCTATCCCACCCTCTCTATTTGAATCCATCAAAACAAATTTATTCTCAAACACATTTCCTCCAGCAGTAGATACCCATATTGGCTTCCCCCAACCAAAATCCACTTTGTAAAATGGGAACCTACACATGCTGCTACTCACATAAAAATCAACATTATTAGTACTATTGTTACTTTCAAATAGCTCTTTTAAATCCCTGAGAAGCTTCCGTGATACTATGAACCATTCATTCACTGTAACATTTTTCGCGTACTTATTGTAGAACTCTGTCCTATTTTTCCTCAATTGACCAACCAATCCATGCAAATTTACATCCTTCTCATCTGTTACCGAGATTGTAAAGTACCATACCAAATTCCCAACAGAATTTTCTTGCAACGGAGGGACCATTTTCGGTCGCATGTTCAATAGTTGGCTCAAAATGGACGACCGCAAAGTAAAAGGTACTGAGTTTGCTTTTGATGCAGTCATGGCACATTTATAGAGCAGTGCTGTCACGGCTTCAACGCGGGTGGGATTTTCAATTTCTGCTGATTCAGAAGTGATCATAGCCTTGAGTTCAGCTAACTTGGAGGGTTCAAACACAAACCTCCTAGTGACACGAGCCTCTTTCCCAATCTCAACTTCAGGCACAATGAATGGATCACCCGGTGGAGGTACTGAAGACATGGCCGATACTGTAATGAAATGAGGGGATAGTACTATTGACTGGCGTGCCATTGCAGCCCAGTCGTTCAAAAAGGTGCCCATGTTGCAGCCATCGGCTATTTTGTGCGACATGCACATGCCAATGGCCATTCCTCCACAAGTGAAGTGACTGAACTGAATGACTACTAGACTACCACCTTTGTACGAGTTGTTTCCCAATAACAGGCCACTTGGAAGCACCAAGTGTAGTGCCTCAAGCTTAGGTGGTTTTAGAATATCAGAGAGCTGGCAATGGATTTGAGCTTCCAAAAAATCGACACCCTCATCGTTGCAATCGACGGAGATTCCGTCACCTTTGAGAATTCCGGCAAAAGGGTAGTAGAGGGTCAAGGTTTCAGATAGGGATTTTTTGAGCTGATGAGATTTGTTGTTGGCAGTAGTATTGTGTGGGCTATCACAGTAATTAATATTGTTGGAGTAGAAGAGAACTCTGGGTATATAGTTACGATTAGTAAGCTGATCCAACGAAGAGAGCTTGTAATTTCGGAGGTGAGGAGGAGTGGGACAGGAGGGTTTGATGATCTCTCTTGAGATTATCTTAGCCTGAACAGTGCCTAATTCTTCCATAAGCGGTAGGCATATATTTCTCACGTGTTTGCAAGCATATATATATTTGGAAAAAGGGTTCAAAACTGCTGGAAACACCTTACTAAGGTGGTAGCAGTCACCTAAGGCTTCTCTGGATCATCATAGCGTAGTTCCACATATCCACCATATTATACAGATTTGGAGACCGAATCACCACTCATTTAAGAGCTAGATTCCCGTGTGAAGTGGACAAAGGGCTAGCGCATAATATATCTTCTTGACGATTGGCAAAATCTTTAGATATCTACATATATATTAAAATTTGCAAAAATGATTAACTGAAAACAAACCTATAGGATGGCATTGCAATTAAAAAATAGACTTAGGATGTCACGGTGTTAGAATATAAAAAACCTGCTTATATTATTTAAAGACGTCATCATCAATCACTCTCACTTTGTTTTTATTAGGTTAAAATACAATGAAGTTTGGCCTAATTACACACCCATGATAACTTTGAAGGGTAATAACAATGACCCCTTCTGCCAAAATATATGTTTACTCTGCCAAAAAATGAACAGACCAACTAAAATGCCCTTAAACCAATTGAAATGGCCTTATACCCTTAAAATACTATAAAATTACAACAAAAACAAATAAATAAATCTCTCTTTGATGGAAAAAATAAGGGTATTCTCTTGGATATGTATGCATATATTATATGCATACAAGACGATGCACTAAAAACATGGAGTCTTTGGAAAATACAATGCGTTTTCAATCAAAAGGTTTTGGCGGTGGTGGATGATTTCGGTGACAACGGCAAAAGGAGAAGGGAAGAGAGAGAGTTATGGAGGAAGAGAAGGGTTGAGAGTATGGTGTCCACATGCATTAGGTTTTGAAGACAGTTAAAAGCTTTTGTTATTGCTATCTGAAGACTTTGAGGCGAAGTTGTGGTTATTATATTGAACTAGGTCAAATGGTTTAGATTACCATTGAATTCGTCAATTTAAAATGAGGTATGGGTTGTGATTGCAGCATAATTTAAACAGTTGAAAGCAAATAAATAAGGGAAATCAAAAAGAAATAGGACCAGTTAAGAGATGATTCACCTAATCATGTTAGTTTATGCACCAGCTCCAACTTCTTTGCAGAATGGGAGTTGTTTTAAATATCCAATACGAGCAGATGACTATATATAAGTTAATTGCAACTATCACTAGTAAGCAACCATGATGGAGACATGAACCATCAGCTGATTATTTCCTTTCTTTTCTTTTTTTTCTTCTCTATTCTATTCTTCTTCCTTCTTCTTCTTTTTTTTTTTTTTTTTTTTTCTTTTTTCTTTTTTCTTTTTTCTGTGTTGACAAAATTTAGAAACAAACCAAGTGCTATCTAACACAGGTACCACCTAATAGCACATGACTATATATAAGTGGTTCTAGTGTAATTAGTTTCTGTTTCTTTGGGATTACGCCCTCCATATAACCTATGAATAGGAGATTTGGGCTTACCCCTACTTGGAGCCTATAGATGGGAGCTCAATGTCATGGAAGGCAGCTGTATGGTATGTGTAATTTCTCTGCCCCCTAATGTGTCTTAGTAAAATCAATCATCTTATCATAAATGTGTGGAAGCTTTTGCATTTTGCAGTCCAGAATGATGATGATGATATTAAGACAAAAAGCTCTATTAATATAGAAATAAAGCACAGATGATGAGGAAGATGATGATGAGTCCAAAATGTTTTATTAATAGTCCTAAACTTTGGTAATGTCACTGTTGCAAAAACCACTTGGTCACATGGTTAGAAATCCAGTATCAATTTGGAGCAGGACAGTTACCAACCTAAGCATAGTCAAGTATTGGTTTGCTCAAAACAGCCTAAAAAAGTTGATTTTTTTACGAGGAAGACAGTAGGGAGGTTATAGAAAAGATAGAATTCAGAAAAGAAGTTCCAACTTGAACCGTACTTAACAGTATGATCTAGATATAAGTTCAAGTGAATTGATCATAGTCCAATGATGCTAAACAATTTAACTAGCTAATGCTAATAAACTAACAAACTTCAAAATATGATAAGAGTTTGACTCTTTTGACAAATCTTTAATCGAGTGGATCATGAACCAAACTCCAGTGGCTTGGTCGTCTTACAATAGCACTTCCATGAAATTTAATTCTCTAAAACCTGTAATAACCCTAATTTTAAAAGGATAGTCTCGGTATTTATTTATTTATTTTTATTGTATTTTTTTTAATTGTTTAATTGATTATTTGACTAATTATTTATGTGTTTAATTGAATTAAGTGTTACTTGATTAATTGGCTACTTATCTATATGTTATTTGTATTTTGTCTAGGTGTTATTTGTATTATTTGTTTAATTAAATTGTGTGCTTAAATGATGTATTTGATTAATTGTAAATTAAATGATTAAATGTTTTATTTTATTTTATTTTATGGTTATGGTTAGTGGTAATGGGCTAACTAATTGGGTCCCATGGACTACTTGGATAGGAGGTTGGATAGGTATGGATAATTACCCATGGATAGTTGTATATGTATATATATAGATATATATGTATATACATATATATATAAAGGAAAGTAATTTATTAATATTATAGTAACTTTAGTATTAATAAATAATCTGATGTATATATTTTATATATTTATATAATAAGGATATACATATATTTTATACGTAACATGTTTTAAGTTACCTTTTTAATATTATGGTAACTTTAGTATAAATAAATAATTTGATGTATATATTTTATTTATTTAATGAGGATACAGATAGATTATATACGTAACATGTTTTAAGTTACTTTTTAATATTATGGTAACTTTAGTATAAATAAATAATCTGATGTATATATTTTATTTATTTAATGAGGATATAGATAGATTATATACGTAACAAGTTTTAAGTTACCTTTTAATATTATGGTAACTTTAGTATTAATAAATAATCTAATGTATATATTTTATTTAATTAATAAGGATATACATAGATTATATACGTAACATATTTTAAGTTTCCTTTTTAATATTTTCATTTTTTATTTTTCTTTATTAAGTTAACTTAGATTGGGAAAAGGAATAGGGTTATTATTTAGCCTATAAATACACAACTATAGGTTGAAAAATGAGTGAAAATATATCACGTAATATATTCTAGAGAGAGAGAGTTAGAGAGAGAAAGAGGAAGAGGAAGGAATGAGGAAAAAACCCTTTAGAGTGAAGATCAAGGAAGAAGAAGTTTAACTTTCAATCCGAAAGTTTAAGGCAAGTTCTTCTTCTATCTCTTTCCCTTTGATTCGTGTTTCTATACATGCCTAGGAAATTTCAGGATTTATTAAACACATAAAATTAAATAATTATGCATGTTTAATTGGATTAGATCATAGGTTTTATGAATTTGGTTCATATCTGTTCTTGTGTTATGAATTGATAAATGCATGATTTTGATTTGATTTCCGGTGTGAATTTTTACATGTTTAAATTATGTATATTTCATATCTGTGGAATGATGGAATGTAGAAACATGCCTAGGATTCCTGAACATTAAATAGGAACTAAGTTTGGGTTTAAATAAATTTAAATAAACTTAATCATAATGATGCTTGCTATTTGAATGTTTTAAACAAACGAATGAATTTAATCTTTTAATATGTTTTAACAATTGAGATTAAATGTGTAGGATGAATAGATATGGAGAATGCTTATTTGACGGTATAATAAAATATCATCGTATGAATAGACTTATTATAAATAAATAATAAGTCATTCCTATTTTGTGATAACTGATATCATATTATCATAGTTATTTTCTGGATTGTTTGATGTATTTTCTTAATCGTTACATCAATTGTTGGATTGTGTGGTTTTATGCACCGGTATGGGACGGTAGCATTCTAGGGACGGATTAACTTATCAGTTAAGTCCTACCTATTTTATATAAGGGAATGGATTAACTAAAATGTTAAGTCCTACTTATATTCAAGTTAGGTCAGCTGAACAAGTTGAATGACTTATGGAGGATTAATTTATTATATAAGGGAATGGATTAACTAAAATGTTAAGTCCTACTTATATTTAAGTCAGGTCAGCTGAACAAGTTGAATGACTTATGGAGGATTAATTTATACTAGATAGGATGGTTACTAAATTATATATATATAAGTATGGTGCCATGATATGAGCTTGAGTCTCAGGATCAGTGGTTAGGGCGCGTATATCGCCAGGGATGTGTAGCTAGATATAGTGTAGTTGTGTACCCTGGTAGGTCTAGGTACTCATACCCACTATATGTGCGTTTTGCATGTTGCCTACTATTCAGGATGAGACAACCTTATACTCTAGTGAGGTTCCTTTAGTGTGTATATATATATATATACGGACTACTAGTTACTGTTGGATTGACTAGGATGTATACGTGTATCGGATCTCTGCTTGGACTGTAGTAGAGTAGAACTTGTTTGTGGGCTTGACCCATCATTATTTTTCAGGTGTTCGTCAGGAGTAGAGGTTGTTCGTGCTGAGCGAGGATCAGTCTACTTCATTCTTCCGATGCTACATAGGAGTTCCTTTATGATTCAGTTTCCTGATTTAGACAGTTATTGCTGTCATTTATTTAGTTTGGATTTTCTAAGGGTCCACACAGTATGGATTCCCGAGTTGTATTTTGGAGGATCAGTTGTATCAGAAGAGTTTATTAATTAATTGAAATATATTCTGAGGTTTATTATTAGATTATCATTTTAGTTTCTTGTCAGCATTTTATTTATTCTTCTTTATTCTTTTGTACTCTGTGTTCGCTTATTATCAATTTGTTTTAATATCCTCGGGTATTCGGGCGTGGGCCTGGCCAACCCGCATTCGGAAATCCGGGGGTATCACAAAACCTACTAATTGTGCTTCAATTTTGTCAAAGCTATGTCACTTTACATCCACTAATTCTATAAAACCTACTAATTTTCAATCCTGTCAAAGCTATGTCATATAGAATTGGTTCATTTACAATTCTCCATTAGTTTTGCATGCTTCACATCATAGTCTTGGTTATTTTTTCTCATCACATCATCTGCTCATCTAGTAAGGCATATATACATCTCCACGAAGCATCGGATTGATTTCAGGTGGTGAATCCAGAGGGACCAACTTTCTGTAAATTTTTATATTCATATGTATCCAACAACATAAGGACTTAGAGCCTAGATGGCATTTAATTAGAGAGAGCCTAGATGGGCATGGGCATTTCATCAACCAATTAGCAAAACATACAATCTATACAATGACTCTCAAGTGTGTGTGTCTGAGAGAAAGAGAGAGAACCTTGATAGTTTTGTTGAAGTTCCTTCGGTTTCTCTTCTTCAGATATCCGAGAATTTTGTCCTTCCTTTCTTCTACTGAATAACTCCCAATTTGCACAGTAGTTTCTTCAATTGCTGGTGCTGGCTTACCTTGAATTCCCTACAAAATGCAATGATAAAGATTTAAGATAAATATATATACAAAAACACAAATATTTGGTGAGACGCATATACCATACAGTGCACCCCAATCAATTAATTAAACAAAAGGAGGTCCAAAAGATCTGGTACAACCCATTTCATTCCTCCCTGAACTCACATAGGTCAGGTTACATTTGAGTTTTCCTACTAATTATTCTTCAATGCTATAAAAGGTCACTTTGTCTTGGAAAAAGAGAAAATTGGACAAGTAAAAGGGCAAACATTGATCGAATGTGAAATGGAAATTAAAAATAAAAAGGAGTTCTTCTCTTGCTGAATTCCAGCCAAATATCCATTATGGCATTACCACCAGGATAGCAATTGATTCACATTATTGCTGGGCCATCTTTACAAGGTAGTGCGTCAGTGCTGCACAATATTTGAAAATCCATATGATAACTTTAATAAGGGTGTTATTAAGTTCAATGAATCGGGGTCCAACACCAAGCATTACAGCCATAAGAATGGTGTGTTCAACATATATGTCAGATCCTGCATACAATCTCTTTAATTTGTACCCTGAGCTCTGAGACTTTATTACAGGAACACATTCAGAGAAGAGAAGTTAGAAAAATGCTTTAAAAAAATTGACCTTTATGTACAAATTTTGTGGTTGAAAAGCATTGATTAATGCTAATTAGAAAGGTTCATGTTGGGTCATAAGAGTTCTCTTGTGTGGACAGGAAGAGCTTCTTGTGATGAAAGAGACCCATAAAAACTGTTTGAACCTGATGTATAATCTCTTTCAAAAGGCAACCATATCAAATCAACCTGCCATTAATACATATGTTCAGACATATAAAAGGTGACCCAAAGTCACCAAATTATTATGATATATTAGACCAAAAAAATTTATTTTATTACCTTCTTCAAACATTAAAATGGGTTGAAATCTATTTCATCACTTTCCCCAACAACAATCAATTAATAAATCTGTATTTCCCAAGCCAGATTCCTTATTGCTCAAATACTAAGCCATAGACTACGACTTTACAATTGTTTAGAGGAAGTGCAGCTTAGAATTTAACACCAAGCATTTTATCAAACATTTTAAGCGCAAACTGGGACTTCCCCACATTCACAATAGAACTTTATGATAACAATACTATATGCTTAGATGTATCAAATAACAAATTAAACTCACCCAACCTCTATTCCTTACTTCCGAAGAGAAGACATAGATGAATAAAAAATACAGTAGTAATTGAAAATACAAACAAACAACCTATACTATATATTATATATATACACAACTAGAGAGAGATTCATTACACACGGCTATACAATATATACATTTATAGATATTCTGATTAGAAAAACGACACATTATTTTTTATCTGTCTAGTTTTTCCTCGTATTTTAATCCAGACTTAATTTCACGATTAGCTAAACTAGGTCTATTGATTCTATTTGCATGTATATAATTCACATAGAGAGAACCTGGAGAGAGAGAGGATGATGACGATGGAATCGAGAAAATCGAGAGATCGAGTGACGATGGACTTCTCTGAACTAGGTCATCTGTGAGTTCTCTGAACCAGTTAATCTATGAATTCTTTGAGTTTGGTAAGGTGGAGTGCAGAGAGTGATCGGAGCTCCGTGACAACGTTAATAATAAGTTTACTAGGCCCGTTTGGTTATGCTGTTTTTGTTTTTGGACGCTGTAAGCCCGTTTGTTTTTGCTTTTGCTGTTTTTATTTTTGGACTGTACAGTATCAATTTTAGCAACAAAAGTATATTTGGTGGGGCTTATATTATTTTGCACAGTACTAAAATAATTCGTAAACAGTGCTCCAAAACCAAAACACAAAAAAGTTATGGCCATGCTTGGATTGCATTTCATAAAACAATTCTCAAGAACAGTTCTCGAGAACAATTTTCAAAGAACGGTTTTTAGTTTTTTCAGATTTCAAGCCAGCTTGGTTAAGAGAATTTACAAAACAGTTTCCGAAAAACAAAAACTCATAAAACTACTTGGTTGTATGAGTTTTTGAAAATAATTTTCTAAACTAAGAAAATAAATAAAAATATTATTGTACCTCATTTTTTTATTTCTTTAATTTATAATATTAACTATTAATGTAAATAAGTGTCGGAGGTATATTCATTTTAGCTAGTATTATTAACTTAATAACAGTTACACAAATACATATATCAAGGTTAATTACAATCCTCTTTCTGCATAACTCCAAAATGGAGGTTCTGTTTGGTGCTTGTATTTTGTTTCCCCTTCATGGGACTCAATGTACATTCTTCCTAAATTTAAATACAATAAAAAAGTTACATGAAACATTATAAATTAAACATAATAAAAGGTACACCAAAACAAAGTTTTCATAACATAAAACATAATAAATTGTCCCCCACACGAATATAACATAAAGTCACATGCATAAAATAAAAAAATAAAAAAAAGGCATAAGGAAATTGTTCAATAACACATAAAACCAAATATGTGTTTCAAGTCACATGCAACCAAAAACTAAGCCCTGCATTCAGTAACCACCCAAGTCAGTCCAAGCTCTTCAACCAAGCAAACTTCCTGGAAATACTCATCCTAATGAACAATTCTTTGTAGTGCAATTCCTTGAACTTTTCAGTTGCCTTCAAATATGTGTCATCATTTATCTCATCAAGACCCTCAAGGCATTCAATACAATTACTTAGAGAGTATGTGTCTGGGCCAGTTGCCTTTTGAGTATGTTTCATTTTCTTATACGTCTCCGCCTTAGCTAATGAAGCTTCAGTCCTTGCTTTGGAAGCTTCAACAATACAAGCAAGAGTATCAGTAATGAAATCTTTTTTACTCACCTTTTTTGCACGACGATCAGAGGATGTGGATTTACGACGACGAGGGTTATTGTTTTTAACTAGAATATTATTTGAATCATCTTGACCTTCAGCAGTTGAACTAACATGGACACCTGTATTCATAAATTGATCCTCCTGCTCTCGTTCTTCGTCTGTATTAGGTGGATCTTGAGTGGATGCATAGTGAGTTGCCCAGTAGCAGTCGACGTATTAAAAAGAACTCCCAAAAGTTTGTAATTTTCACAACCTTTTTTGCGAAAACACTTAGCATTGGGATGAGCCTGAAAAATATATATATATATATATATATATATATATATAAAGATTGTTAGGAATAACCATATTTAAAAATTAAACTAACTATTGTAAAATAATTAATTAAATACATATTTTACCCGCAAATATGTTTGCCAAGTTTCTTCATCAGCAGTCACAGTGTTTGTTTCCGCATCCCAACCAAACCCAGTTGTCTCATTTAGAAGAGTTGAAAACTCACGATGCTTTGTACGTAATCGATTAAATTTTACCTTTAGTTGTTTCACATTATAAGCGTGATTAGTCTTGTGTTTTGAACTCCTCTGCAATCTTTTTCCAACACTTGGAAGTAAATATCCCAGATGGCATGTTCCCCTTGTTAACCTCCTCAACCATTATATCAACAAAACATCTCTCTAATTGTGTAGACAACATCAGCAATTTGAGATGCCATCCTTTATTTGTGCATTAAGCAAAGAATTACAAGCAATAAAATGAATTACAAGCAAAGAATTAGGCAGTGATATCAACTTAGAGAAATAAATAGATCAGGTTAATAGTGATATGGATTGTTGGTTTTGTTTGCTGAACAGGATTGTAAAGGTCTCCAATCAATTGTACTAATAGGTCTACTGGTTTGCGGCTTCTAAAGTAGTCTCAAGTCTTAACCTTCATACAATTCTAACTTTAGTTGGTCTCCAAACAAAAATCTTCTAAGTAGCAATATGTCAGTTTTGTATCTTAGAATGGAAAAGCCCCTTGAGCCAGTATTCAATTATTGATGCATCTTCAATTATTGATGCATCTTCTCAATAACTGCCAAAGAACTTGGGTGTGATTGTGCAACCTTCTCTGTTTTTTTAATCTTTTCTTTTCTTCCTTCTATAACCTTCAAATTTCAATCCTTCACATCTTTTAAGATTTTCATTCTTTTGGTGCTGAAAGTAAAGACACTACGTAAGTTTATATAGAACCCCTTATTGTTTTTCTTTCTTTTTTTTTTTTTTTCCTATTCTTTCCCTCTGTTTTATCTTTCACCATCTATTTCTTTGCTTTCTTTTCCTCTTACTTTATTAAACTCTTTTTAATCAAACTCTTTAATCCTTCACCATCTATTTCTTTGCCTTTTCCCTCTTACTTGATTAAATTCCTTTTAATCAAACTCTTTTATCTTTACCATCTCTTTTATCTTTCACAGGTTGTTCTACACCTATGTGGTACCAGTTTAAGGCTTCACCACTGTGAATTGGATCAGCAAATTCAATGTATAATAATACCAGTGTTGGCATGCATAAATTAGTTGATAGACTAATATAAAACATAAACATACAATAAAAACAATAATAAGAACAATAGTATAATGCACCAACCATAATAGACAATTAGCAGAAAATACAAGCAATTGTGAAGTTCTTCAACAGGTGCATATAACTAAGAGGAATTTAAGCCAACATCCTATTTTTATAATCTATAGTCTAATGTTTAAATGTATAAACACATATATTATATATACCAATTCGTTATTCCAAACAATAGCGGAACATACTAAACATATTTGGGAAGAACGAGATATGGGAATTCTGGGACTCAAATCTAGCTAAATTGTGCCTTTTTTTGTGCTTGTGTTTGCCATATATATGCTAATCATACCACCTAACAGAGAAGTAAAAATTATCTCACCTTTTTACAGGAAGTGAGAAGGAACAAAAACGAAAAGAGGATGAAAAAGAAAATCACAACAATCTTCTGTGAACAAAATTAAAAATTAAATTAATGATGACAAACAGAAAAAAGGAGAAAATCAAATCCCTAAATTGAAAATCAAATCCCTAAATTGAAAATCACAAATCCCTAAACTAAAAATCAAATTCACAACAAAACTCACCTGAAGGGCTTCTTGATCTACTGATGGGGCGAGAAATAGATGTTGAGGAATGAAGATGAGTCTGGATCCTCAGGTCTAGAGAGTAGAGGAGGGAGTTGAGAAAGAGCGAGCCGTCAGATCTATCAGAGAGGAGAGAGAGGGTTGCTGAAGGAGTGAGTGTTTTAAACGAGCGTGAAATTACGTCATTTTTTTAAGTCTGGGGGCGTTCTCCGTGTTTTCTAAAAAATGAGAACTGAGTTTCAAAACTCTCAAAACACCTAGAAGGTGTTTTCTGAAAACTGATACTATCAGTTCCCAGTTTTTTAAAAACTATTCTGTGAAAATAGGCTCCAAGCAGACCAAAAAACCAAGAACAGTTTTTTTGTAACTCCCAAAACAGTAATATTTTTCGTATTTTGACCTACGTCACATAAAGCGGGAGCGGAGCGTGAGAGCGGCATACCTCAAAAAATCTTAGAACGGGAGCGTCGCTAGAGTGCCGCATTATAAATATATAAAATATTAATTTATAATAATAAATATATGTTTTAAATAAATTTAATGCAAATAAAAAGATAAAATAGTGAATCAAATATGAGTCCAGTACAACCAATATAACCTACTTTATAAAAATGCATAAATTAACAAATATGACAATCAAACAAGCTGTTTTATAAAAATAAAACATAACAGTGAATAGGGCATAATAGAAAAAGCAATATTCAAAAACATTGTCTTTTATATATTTAACATACTTTAAACTCTCAGGATGACAATCATTGTTTTTGAAATAGCAATGTTCAAAAGCATATGAAAAATATATGAAATAGCAGTGATAATATGAAATGATGGAATGAGAATAAGACTATAAGAGTGAATCAAGAGTCAATTACTAGTAAAAGAAGTTTAAGAATCACGAACCCAACACTTAATAGCAGGAGAAATCACAATCAAAATATGAAAAGTTATTCATTCATTTCTTTCTTTACTAATAAATAAGTATTATTAAATATTAAGTATATTGTTATATTATTTTATTTTTACCTATAAAGGACAGAGTTTAATTAATTAAATTAAATTGATTACTTTTTGACATAATTAACCTTATTTGGTCTATTTAAGTTGGGGTTAAATCGAAATTCCTCTAGATTCATACTAAATTCGTGAATTTATTGTCAAAAGTCGTCGAATTCTTGAACAAAATACGCAATTTTACCTTACACAATTTGTCGAATTGAACTTTAAAAATCAACGAATTCTTAAATTGAATTTGCGAATTCAAAATTATGAATTCGCGAATTCAAAAACATGATAGCGTGAATTTTTGGTGAATTCGCTCTCAAAACGCCAATTCACACGCAGAGCAATGGAGCGCCAGTGGTTTGAGCGAATTATGTGACTTAGGTTTTGACAATTGTTCATAACCCAAAATCATAATCATATTTTGCACGTTTCTGTTTTCGACATTTCCACGGCAAAACATTGTTCCCAAATGTGCTTCAAATTTTTTTCTAAAACACTCCTATAGCAAAAATATTGTTTCTGTTTTAACCAAAAACAGAACGTTTAAAACAAAGTGTATGCCAAACAAGCTAATTATATCACACCGCCTTTCTTTCTCTCTCTACTTTTTCTCTCGCCTCTCTCTAAACCTCAGTCGCCTCCCTCTCATCTTCTCTCTTTTGCTCCCACTCCCTCCCATGGGAGTGGGGAGGGCCCGATCCTTGCCTCCC